CCGTTTATATATAAGTAAATATGCTGAACCACTGCAATGGATTCAGAGTTTGCAGTGACGCCAATTATGTTCCGCCTCGTTAGTTCACCGCAAGGACCGTTTAACCTGGCAACAACTGCAGCCGGCTCAAACGTGATTGGTCAATATCACACGGACTACAAACAGCCTACAACCGAAAACCAGCGCTCTTCCGCTCTTCTTCCGGAAGCAAGATCTCCGGGGTTTGCCTACAGACTTTACATTCACTGAATGTAGAGTCTGTATATAGAGACTACATTGGTCCTTATGGTCTATGTGGACACATCTACATCACTACATTCAACTCTGACAAAGGGGTTATGATTGTGAGGGGAATTGTAGCTGTGTTTTAAATAAAAATACATTAAATATAGTGACATTGTAGGGCGAAAATGTAGACAAAGTCCTATATATTTTTGGAAATTAGGTTTCCATCTTCATGGGTGTCTCAAAAACAGAAAAAACATCCAGTGTAGTTAGTTATTATACTAATGTTGTCTTAATTTCCCCCAGCTGAGTGATACCTCTTCTCATGTATTAACGATCTTCGGCCCTCACCTACATAGTGTAATTCGAGACCTTTGCACGAGACTTTACGTAAGACAGAAGGCTGCACGTGCCAGCGAGAAACGTGTTGACCTATATATTATATAACTGGACGGTCACGTGGCGACGGTTGGCTCGTTAACCCATTTCGAGGCCGTCTGCGGAGAAAGTACACTGTCCCCGTGCACTTTACAAACCCGGAAACACCGTAAGCGGACAGGAAACAGGAAAAAACCTATACAGTGACACAAACAAACTTTTAGGGATAGGACGTTTAAGGGGTGACGACTGAGAAACTTATGGATAGATAGATAGATAGATAGATAGTAGGGTCTACTTTATTGATGCCAAACTGGGAAACTCTTGTGTTACAGCAGCAAGTATTCAAACAGTTTGTGGACATTTGCATACAGAAATATAGAAATATAAAATATATACAAAAATGAGTCGTGTTAAAATTTAAAATACACAAGAAATATGCAGGAATAAAATAAAAGATATCAAATTGCAAGAATAAAAAGATCAATAATATACACAACACAGTGTATGTAGAAGTTGAATAGCCTATATAGACTTATCTGTATAAAAATAAGTCTACCTTGGGAAATGTTCTTAATAATCTAAATTCAGCTCTTTGATTTTCTTATATTATTTATTTCTGTGACGGCCTTACTAATGTGTCTGTTCCTTCACAGCTTTTCCTTGTGGTTGAAGAGGCGGCCGTCCATTCTTCCTGGCCACACCTGAGGGTGTGGTCTTACTTTATAAACGGCCTCAGTTGTCAGCCTGCTCTCTCTCTCTCTCTCCCCCTGACTGAGCAGCTGACTGCCACATGGCCAACAGGGTGTAGTTTGGTTTGCTTTTGTTTCATTTGTTCTGTTTTACATACACACACACACACACACACACACACACAAACACATACACACACACACACACACTGCAGCCACTCACGACACGACAACATGTGTTACTTCTTATTTTGAAGTAGATTTAGTTAAATAAATCACCTTTGTACCTTAAATTGTTTGTGTAGACTCTCTTTTGTTGCAAACTGTGAGCCAAGTTTGTAACATTTCATACATTAAAATATAGGTTATTCATAGGCCTTAATGTCACTAAACGTCCATTCTGTTAACTTCTCTGTAGCGGACGGCCCTCTAAGCAAATATACCATAACTTGTTCTTCCTTTACAGCCTTTTCACATTGTAAACAATATGAGATATATATAGACTTATTTTAAAATGCAGGTCTGTTCGGTTTAGGGAGGTAGTAAGTTTGTTTTGTAGATCCCACTGCAGGTGTGACCTATTTGTGCCTGGGTCTTGCCTATAGTTGTCCTGTCTGTGACCTTTCTCCTCAGCTCCTGAGGTGTGTTTTCTTACTCATGATGATGACAATAAAAAAAAAAAAAAAAAAAAAAAAAAGATGTCACGCTTCTCCAGGACTGCCTGGTTAGGGCTGGGCCTGCGGTTACACAACCAGCAATAATTTAGATGTCCTAGTTTAATCAATGATGTGATGAATTAAAAAAAAAAATACATGGGTCACGTTTAACCGGAGGAAAACAACTTTATATAAGCCAAAGAAGGGACAGATGTGTTAGCCTTATATTCTCTTTTAAATTAGGTCAGTTTGACACCACCTGTATGAAAGGTTTCATCTTGAATATTCCTTACCTTACCCTCCAGTCAAATTGCTCATAAGTCTGTCAAAATAGCATGTCTGTACACATAATAACTGGCTGCATTTCAACTTCACTACATGCATTGTACCTTATTCTATAACAGCATGCTACTATTGATTGTGGCATTAAGGGCTAATAGGCTAATCAATATGAGGCTAAAAAAAACCAATGTTTTCTTACTGTACACTTTTAAATTACGTCATGAACGCTAAATATAGCTACTTAAAATGTACAAACAGGAAATTAAAACAGCTACTTAATAATAATAATAATAGTAATAATAATAATAATAATAAAACAACTAACTAGGTTATTCCTCTTATATCGGGGTCATGACATGACACTGTCACCGATGCATCAAGTAACCTGGTTGTTGTCGGCTTTCTGCAGTAACCTGATTTCTTAATGTAAACCAGAAACCCGGTTTCCTTAATCGGGGTAAGGGATTAAGAGAAACCAGGTTAACACAGCCTTTTTTTTCTTTGCTGAAAAAAATGTGTTGGTGGCCATAGACACACGTAACCGTGTTTATAACGGGGTTACACACGTGTAACTGCCTGTAACGTGCCTACTTTCTAATGTAACTGCGAGGTCGGAATAAAACAAATGGCCTATAAAAAGTTTTCCTCAGTCGAGTGGGAAACTAATATTTAGATGTCGCACACAGTAAGTAAATAAAAACTAGGTTTATATGCGGCGCAGGAAGTTTCGACAGAAAAAAACAATCATTAATCATTAAAATTCGTTACTGACTAAATGTATAAACACTAGTTTATAATAAGAAAACGTGCCCAAACATTTTCGCACTTCCCATAGTTTATTTTATATACAATGCTGTTGTCAAATACATCAAATACGTTTTAAGGGTTGCGAAAAACAGCTTTATGACCATTTTTCCTCAAGTCAATTTCAAATGTGGCATGACTATTAGGCTATATAAATAGCACAAGCCTTTATCACAAATCCAACATGACAGCATTCGCACAGCCATGAAGCAGTGTCCATTCATAAGATCCGCTGAGGACAAGCTTGTGTGCATCAAGCGCTCCCTCTAGTGGCCTCAGTGTGTTACAGCAACATGTGCTGCGTTTGAAAACTGTGGATAGTCTTGTTTATCATTTTTATGGCTTTTCCACGTTTTTGCCTTTTTATTTGATAATCAACAGTGTGAAGATAAACAGGAAACACAGAGTAGAAATGAAAATATCTGTATCAAATTATGTTTGTCAGATTACCACAACATGGGGCATGTTTATTACTGAATTTTAATCATTGCTGCATTTTGAAATGAATTTGTCATCATGAAATAATGCTGTCACTGAAATAGTCTGCAGTGGTTATTACCTCAGGGTTATCCAAATGTTAGTTACAAAGTGTTACCCAATGTACAGTGATACAGAGTAAGGGGCTGTTCTTTACTTATCAGAGGAGGGGGGTGTAAATTCTTTTTTTATGTTATTTTTTTTTATTTTTATGCTCCTTGAAGCTACAGATATTTTTCCTTGAGCCCCCCTAATTGACTGGTGGAAAATGTGTGACCCTTCCTCCACCATAAATTCATTATTAGATTTGATGTTTGAAAGTTAAAAGTTAAAGACAAAATCCTGGAGTCAAAAAAAACCTTGGTTTTTCACTGTTGTAATGCATGCTGGTTAGTTTGTGCAAGAGGTTAATTTTTGCCCACATTTTATAGGAAATGTAGAATAAAATGATTCTGTTGAACTATCACTGTTTTTAAGGTGGTGTGGTGCATTAGTTAGCACTGCTGCCTCACAGTAAGAGGGTTCCTGATTCCAACCCAGGGTAGGGGAGCCCTTCTTTGTGGAGTTTGCATGTTTTCTCTGGGTGCTCTGGCTTCCTCCCACAGTCCAAACACATGCAGGTTAATTGGTGACTCTAAATTGTCTGTAGGTGTGAATGTGAGCATGAATGGTTGTCTGTCTCTATGTGTCAGCCCCGTGATAGTCTGGCGACCTGTCCAGGGTGTACCCTGCCTCTCATCCAATGTCAGCTGGGATAGGCTCCAGCCCCCGTTACCCCTAACAGGATAAGTGGTAACAGAAAATAAATGAACATCACTTGAAGCTCAGATTTTGGTTATCTTTTTTTCCAATGGAAGCATTCGTCGCACATTATCTGTCCAAGGACCATCAGAAATTTTGAAATCCAACGGAGATTTATGTTTTTACAGTTTCTGGTTGTAATAAACAGTGTAATTTTGCCCATTTTTAAATAGAGTATGCCTCCATGTTTTCTTAAAAAATCTGCTGGAAATACAAAATACACCCATCTTAATTTGTTCACCCCTCCCACCCTAGCCAAATTAAAATAAAAGTCTCTCCCTCGTGCTTCAATAATTATTTGACATGTCTCCCCTTTTTTTGCACCAAACCTTAGATACAATTAGTTTTAAGTCATCATTTAAAATACAGTGAGCTAAAGTAATACTTGAACTGCTTCTGGATGCCATAGTTCAGATACCCACTCTCTAACTCTTTGCTAACTGAGTGGCTCCAGGTTATATTTCACACTAAAACCACATTGTTTTAGTCAGTTTGGGACTGAATGGCTTGTGCTAACAACCCTGCTGTAAAAGACTGTTGAATTAACATTTTCAAGATGTTTTATAAGACCTAAGAGCTTTCCCCAGGCTTCTGCACTCTGTGTGTTTATGGGCCATGTGCTCTTCATTTAGAGAATTATTCAGTTAGAGCCACCTGCCCCCCCCCCCCCAACAAATAGGAAAGCTTCAGACTTTAAGTGTTTAATTTTATTATTTTAAGCATTTTGTCAACATAAAAACTCATCAACGTGAATGAATATATTAATGAGCGCTTCCTCCTTCACTCCATAGACAGTTTCCTTCAAGTGTCTACAACAATATGTACACAGCATTACACAAAAACCTCACAACATAGTCCTGGCCCGTGGAGGGTGGGTTTGAAACCTTTTACAAGTGAATCTCCAGACTGAATTCTTGCTTTAACAGGGGGGGAAATTACATATTATTAGCTTAGGAACAGGGCGCTGAGGTTTCCGAGGCAGAGACCACTTACATCTAAAGCTAGACTGAAGATGTGAATGAGCCTTTCATCTGCGTTTATCCCTTACGTTTCAGTCAACTGCTTTTTAAAAGGATAAATTAACATTTCCCTACTCTCCAAGTTAGGGGAGAGTCTCCTCTATTCTCCCAAATATAATGTGACACTGATCAGACAACACAAAGGGTGGGTCTTTAAGCTGATTTGGTCCGTCAGAAATGAATTGTCTAGCTTAACTGGTGATAAAAGTGAAACATTTCCTGAACTTGTCTCAACCTCACGGAGAAATAAAGTCACAATAATTTAGCTTCCTTTCCATAAAGTGACACAGTAATGGATTTCAAGTCATCCTGGACATAGTATATAGAATTGTGTGGATCCCAAATACAGTATTTACCCTCCTTTTTTCATCTCCTGTGCATCTACCAACAAAAAAACTGTAATAATTTCTCTATTACAACAGACAAAATGAGTTTGACATTGAACAAGGTCACACATAACCTCACAACAAAAAGCACTGAGGATCTACTTCATGAAAATGTCACTTTTTTCCCCTAGTAGTCACACACACACACACACACACACACACACATATACACACACACACACACACACACACACACACACACACACACACATTCGTTGCTCATAAACAATCCTAACTGTTTGGCTGTGAGACAGGACGCTCTGAATACAGCAGTTTGGCTTTGTCCAGATTGTGTCAGTGTGTTCAGGTGATGAGACACGACTGGGAATCTGCAGCAGTAGCCATCAACAAAATCCCCCATCATGCATCTGTCCTGCTACTGTCCTCCAGTAGGACCACATCTTCTTGCAGACTGGTCTTAGCTTTGATGACATTTGAGTTAGAATCACACATTTTGATTTTTAGTATGGGCGAAATACTGGCCTATCAGGGTTGTCTGTGTGATATGAGACTATACATGTATGTTTTAGTACGTCTTCTGTTTGTAATTAAAGGGGCACTCCACTGTTTTTTCACACCAAGATCTTAAATGTCACTGAAATTACCCTGATGATGTCATGATGATGTCATAACAGTTACCTCTGCTTTGAGAGACTACCAGTTTATAAAGGCTGCATTACGAATGGGGCATGTTTGAAAGACAGGCATTTATACAAGACAGGAGGAGAATGATCAAAGCTGCTATCAAGTTGCATTATGGGAAGTGTAGAACAAACTGTTTTTTTTTTTAACTTTGACCATACAAGGGACTAAGGGTGAAGATATCTCAGCCTCTGCTGCAACAATTGTAACCATTTTTTAAAAATTTGTCCCTAGCTTTACAGAGGTGTGGTCATAGAAATAGAATGAATAGAATGGACATTGAGCTGTTTCCTGTGGCCACTGGACTAGTAATATAATAAAATGGCAATTGTTTATGCGGTGACAACATGTCAGTGGGGTCTTTTCCTTATGAAAAGAAAAATGCAACTACAAACCAATCCAAGTTTCTCTCTTTCATCTTCCTAACTTATGTTAGCTTAATTTCCTTGTTTACTCATGGTTAAAAACACACTCGACAAAAACAACATAAAACCATCTCAGCTAATTTTGTTAGTCGTCTAGTTAGTTAGTCTACTGTTTTAACAATCACCAGCTCTGGTTTAGTCAAATGAATCTTTAAGTCACTGAGTTAGGCCCCAATCACACAGAAAGCACTTTGCAGGCTGCAAAATGCCAGGTGCATCGCTTTTTTTTTTTTTTTTTAATTGCTGTGTCTTTTTACCCCATCACGTCCTTACCCTAACCTTCCCATGTAATCAATCTACTGTTTGTTTTTCTGAGATCTGTGTGGGTACATGAGACCCTGAAAAAGAGGGTGGATCACGGGGAGTACCACCAGTTGGTCCAGGAGCTTCACATTGATGATGGCAGTTTCCAGGCATATTTTAGGATGACTCGGGGGCAGTTTGACAACCTACTGTCTATCATCAGGCCGTAGTTCTGGGTATCTAGCAATCACTACCACCAGTTTCTCCTCCATTGTTTACTAACTGTAAACATGCTGTCCTGTGCACCACAGAAGGCCCGCCTCTCAAATCATCTGACTGGACAATGGGAAAAAAGATGACGAAGGAGGAGTTCAGAGCGCTCCACAAAACGCAAGGCGCCTTGAGTGCAGGAGCAATGCAAAAACGGCTGAGTAAAAAGCTTCATTCTTAATAAAACCAATAACAAAAAGGCACCTCCAGCTGCTAAAATGTTTTCTGTATGATCGGGGCTTTAGATGTAAAAAATATGTTCATATGCATGCTGTTTATCCCCTCAGTCTCAGTAATATTACATAATGTTTCAACAAACGTGCAATTAATTGCAATAAAAGAAAAATGGAAATAGCAGTTACAGTAATATTTTAAAATGAACGGACTGCTAATTTAAAAAAGTAATTCTCCACTACTCGTTCGGTATAACGGCAAAACCTCACCTCAGTGAGTGCATGACTTGCCGCAAGTTGGTTTGTTTATATGGAAGTATATACAAAAGTTGGCCCACTACAACAGTTGCAATGACATTAGTACACATAAACATGGCTGCCTCTCTGACGATTTGAATCTCCATTCTACTCTCATTCTATTTCTATGGATGCAATTCTACAATCACTGGAGTGCCCCTTTAAAATGTTAGGGAAACCAATTGATATGAAAATCATCCGATTTAAATATACAGAATATCAGCACAACATCTCATCTATCAACACACATGAAAAATAATAAATAATGCAGAAATATACAACCCTTGCACATTGCTTATGTAATGCAACTCCAAGTCCTTACGGTGCGTTCTTGGCCTAACTAACTGGATGAATTCCAGTTTAAACTGATAAAATGTAAGAGGACACACTGGTACAGGTGTATCATCATACACCAATCTACTTCATCAAACTGCAAGACCACAAACGTTCCCTATCAATTCCTCAGAAATAGCACCACACACAGTTTAATATGGGATTCCTGTGATGGCTACAGCTGAACTTGAGTTCAACATGGTAAGAGTCCTCGGTATATTTCCTGTCCCTGTGTGTACATTTATAGCTTGCGTTTTGACACTTAACAGATGTGCTAACTGAGAAACATCTGTCTCTTCTCACTCGTTTTCTAGAAATAAAAATGGCAAATTATTCCTTAGCCAAGTTTAGCTCTCTTGGAAAGGTGTTTTGTTTTGTTTTTTTTAAAGGTAGTTTTCAGTTAAGTGCAGTATAAGCGACAGCTACATCTGAATATGTGTTCAGATCACGACGTGTGATGATCAGAGTTCTTTGGTAACTATGTTTAGCTCTGTGTCTAGTCACAACTCTGAGCAGACATGTTGGTTACATGGTTGGTTTTGTTGAAAAAGACAGGACATTAGCTTCTAAGATCGAGGGGGGAAAATAACATTAAATACATCCAGTGGATACTTGAATTAAAATGAGACATACAAAAACAGTACACGTGTCTAAGATATCCACCGTGTTGATCTACTCTTATTTAGTTTCTATTTTAGTTTCATCTTAACTTGACAAACAACGACACTTTGTTCATTGTGTTTGTCTTGGCGCATTCTGTTTTTATGAGCCCCTGGTTTAATTATCTAACCTATAAAAACCTGCAATTTTTCTATTCTGCCTTTGTTTCTGTTTTATCACCTTTATCACGTCAAGTGTTTTGTCACTCTGCAGACACACTTAATATAACCTGACACATCAGAGCTTTCCATTTACTTTAAGACAGATTTTTTTCCTTTTCTCTCACTTTTCCCTTCTTCAAACAGCTCTATATCTAATAGTAATCAATACCTTCTGATTAGTCTCTGATAACATCCGTAGAATATCCAGTTAAATATTTCTCAGCTATTTAAAGGCACTTTGCATGTTTCGTCCACCTAAGAAGGAAGCGATTGGCCCCTGGGCTCGCTAGAATTAAAATCAGGGGGAAATGATCAATTACTGTGGCACTGATCTGAACCACACGAGGGGCTCTGAAGGGAAGTGGCACACTCTGCACTTTGTTTGGCTTATGTGTGAATGGGCAACACTCCACAGTAACAGATGTCAAGCACAGGGCAAACTGCATTCACACGTTTCCTGGCAACAAGTTGTTCCTCTGTGAGAAAAGCAACAGCGCTGAGGCAGTGCCACAGGAAGAGTTGTCCCGCAGGGCTGACACAAAGTCGCACTGTGTTTACCACCACCAGGAGGGTTAAAGGAGGATTCCAGCATGATCGGGGTTTTTGCTCTTCTGTTTTATATTTTCTATCTGTTTGATGCTAATGTTACTAAAAACGACATGTTCAATTCAGTCTCCTCCATCACAGGCAAAAAATAATCATACTATGATTATGATAAAAAAAAAAACGTTTACACCTAAAGAATTCCCAGATGTATTGAGCTAAATGCTAACATCGGCATACTAACATCCACAGACAACATGTTAACATGTTCCCCATCTTAGTTTAGCATGTTAGCATGCTAATTAGCACTTGTACGGCTGATGCTGATGGGAATGTCATTAGTTTTAGAAATATCTGGTCAGAAACAAAAGCATCTGACGGAGACATTTGACATGATGATGGTGCTAGACGTTAAGGTAAGGGATCACCAAAGGGGCATGAAAGCGTATGCCAAATGTCATCACGCAATCCATCCAACAGTAGTAGATATGCTGCTAGCATGCTAAACATAGAGTACCTACAACTGCCTCAGATAAGTTTGATGATAACTGAGCTCCACTAGCATTTTGCTAACTAGCATTTTGCTAACAAGTACCACTACGATCTTCAGTAGCTGTCTCCTCTGACATAAAGAAAAGCTGATGTTGAGGTTGCACCAGGTTCCAGTTTAAAAATGCATTACAGATTTTCCTCACTTTGCAATTTTAAATGGATGCTATCTTTGTCAGTGGGAGTAGCTCTTAAAGGAATGCCTCATCCCCCCCAAATTACCATTTGTATATCAATTACTCACACTGTGCTACATTGAATTCAGTCCCCCATCGGAAAGGGCAGTTTGTTTAAGAAGTACTGAGCATACAAGAGATACATGAGACTTGGATTACACTGCACGAGTTGTCTGAGAGTTTGTAAGCAGATGTTCAGATATAGTTTTTTGGTTGTTAAACATGGACCCCTATGACTTCAATTCACCAAGAATCTTCTATAGTTTTGGATTCTTCATTCAGAGTGTTGGCATGCAAGAAAAACAAAGTTTTCTACACAAATTCAACATAACACATGGTGATTAACTGATATACAAAAGGTCATTTGGGGGTAAAGTATCCCTTTAAATACAAAGCAGAAAGTGACCAAAAACAATAGAAATCATGCTGGAACCTTCCTTTAAAATCCACAAACAGGCTATAACAGTATGGACGAGAACAACTGAGGGGTACCAGTTCTTACTCAGTAATCTTTCAGAGTTGTCTACAGTGTATAGAGCTTGTCTTCAGTATTAGAAACTATGTTTGCAGCAGAGCTAATTTAGCCGCCAGTGTAGAAACTATCGCTGTGAAGATGTCGAAGCAGTGATTTGTACTCGATCCTCATTCCCACGGGAGTAAAAAAAATCCTCTCCAGAAGCAGTATGCCGCTGAACATGCAGATATGCTGATTTAGTGTCCTAGTTAGTGAGCTGGCCTGAGAGCTATGGCTAAAGACGGCACGTGTATACGATATAAACAACCGAGGTAATGCGGTAACGCTCCTTAATTTCCGAGCTCTTGGTGTTCTTGCAGCGGCCGAGCAGACCTAAATAACTTGTGATGAGGGTTAAATTTATACTGAGAGGCTGACAGCGCAGCCTTCAGCACCAGCGGGGCTCCACGGCCCGACCCTGTGTCCGTAAACGTCTGTTTTTTTCTCCACAACGCCATCTCCCCGTCTCGGCGTGTCAGGCCTTCCCTGCCTTCATGTATGTGGGGATGGTGCCTCGCTGGGTCAGACCCTCAAAGCGTTTGTATGTGTAGTTGAGGAACACCCAGTCCTTCGATTTGAAGTCTGGCTCCGTTGCGTTGGCTGTAAATAAACACAAAATCACATATCAAAGGGAGGTGTTATTGTTTTGCCACTTGAGGGCACAATAGATCAAACAGTGTAAATGTGAAGGCCCCTTTAAGGCCATTAGAATAATAATAGAGTCATCAGCATTGTTGAGAATCTATTTTGGAATCATCTGTCATGACTCATTCGTCGCCATGATCTGTCTGAATCTGACCCAAGGCTAACGTTTCCAAATAAGGGATTTTCCTGCAGTGCGCCAAGCAGAATATCTGATAAAGACAAACCTGGCTGAAGGATGTCTGATTCAGGGAAGTCATCAAAGTTTGAGGTGTCGTCGATACTCTTGATTTCAATGGAGATGGCTGCTGGCCGCTCCCTGTGGAGGCAAGACGGAGACAATCATGGATGGTTGGAAGAACACAGAAATAAGAAGTAGTAAATCCTCAGTGTGGGCTCCTTTCCATTTTAGATCAAGAATGTCATTTTTCTGAAACTGCTTGATGCATAAGCAGCGTTACCTTTAATGCAAGAAGAACCCTTTCCTGACATAGAATATGTAACAGTGCTGGCTTCATCCATGTGATTCAGACATACTGTAGGCGTCAGTGACATAAATGTTGTGCTCGGGCTGCTGTAGCCTTGACATTCATCTAACAGCACTGCACTGAGCTGTTGCGTAAATGTTAAGAGTCTAACCTACTTGTGCCAGCTTTACACCACACGACTCTTCAAGCGATTTATCTGTCGCAGACAAATTTTTAGTGCTGGAATAAAATCATGATAGTTTTGCTCAAGTTGTGGCTCCCTTGATCTTGTTTGTGTAAGGTGTAATGTGCTCATAAAGCTCAGTTGGAGTCAGTGTTTCCCACACAACTAGAATCTATTTGTGATGGTGGGAAGGCGGGCAGCACTGGCTAGCGATGAGTTCTCTCTGCCCTGTTAGCACAAGCTAACATGGCAGTAGTGGCTAACATCTGCCGCCAAGCCATTAAATGATCCCAACAAACTCACACCGACAAAACTACAGCGATTGGACAAAATTGCAAGGTTGCACAGAACTCATGGGGATTGGTTGAATTTGTGTTAATTGCTGCAGTTTCAACTTAACAACATCCAACTTTTGGTGACGTTTCAAGATGTGAACATGGTCAGCAACCAATAGCTGCACTTTGTCTGGCACCGAACAGAAAAGCATCGAACAGGGTAGACAGTAAACATGGAGAAGTCTCTGGGTAATGGTTAATGGACTGCACTTGTATAGCACCTTTCCAGTCTACCAACCACTTAAAGCACTTTTTACACTATGGGTCACACACACATTCATACCCTGGTGGCCAAGGCTACCATACAAGGTAGCACTCACACACTCCCACACCGATGGAACAGCAATCGAGAGCAATTTTCAGTATATTGCTCAAGGATACTTTGACATGCGGACTGGAGGAGCTGCAGTGGAGGAGTCAAGAACTCACTCTACCCTCTGAGCCGCAGGGGGCAGAAGGCGAAAGAAGGTGAACAAGTCTCAGTTCTGTTGTGCTGTGGAAAAGGAGGAGAAACTGGTGGAGTTGTGGAGTGAACAAGAGTTGGTGTTTATTTGGGTGTGTATCTAATCCACCAACCTGCACTTATTTTAGTGAGAGATGTTAATTTTTGAAACGGTTCGCTTCTCATTCCCACAGTCGGAAAGGTAAGGAATTGTTAATATGTCATATTTCTTAAACGAAGTTTGGTGTAATATTTTCCACCAGGAGCAGGATGGGAAACAATTTCAACAGGAATCTAGTTGTAGTCTTGCAAATAGAGACCCTGTGAGTCTTTGCAAAATCTTATGGTGTCGAACTAAAAACTCACTCACAAAAGTCTTCTAGTGTATGGCAGGCATTAAACAGGTAAAAGTGACTCGGGTGTCACATGAGACCCTCATGTCAAACTGCCACATTTATGTCTGAATGGGGTTTAGTGTTCATGTACCTGATGTGCTCCCAGTCCACTGACTCAAAAAACTGATGACTCTTGATCTCTTCCACACTCACTGCTCCAACCCTGTTCTCAGCATCAGTGCAATACCTGAAACACACAAACAGCAAACTGTTAATCTAACTATCCAACAGACCTTTATATACACAGGGTTTGGACAAGTATTCACTGTCCACATCAACATATTTAGTAGTAGCCTTTATGGGAGTTTGTAAAAGGGGAAACTTAAACAATAAAAAATAATCTTTACATACTTTAATATCAAGTCTTTGGCCCTCTCTGAGATGGGGACTTCAGGTGGGAAGACAAGTGTTTCCTTCCAGTTCATCACCTTCCTGTATGTCTCCTGTGGTGTCTCGGAGCAGAAAGGTGGGTAACCTGAACACAGCCAACATTATTTTCAACATTTGTAAATGTACCTCACACTGAGACACTTCATTTTACAAATGTGTTTCATTAACCTCTCCGTGTCTGTCTCACACACAGACAAACGCATGCTTACCGATGAGCATTTCATACATGATGACGCCCAGAGACCACCAGTCACACAGCTTGTTGTACCCCGTCTGCATGAAGACTTCAGGAGCAATGTAGTCTGGCGTTCCCACAGTAGAATAAGCCTGAAAGTCACACAGAGAGACAGAAGGTGAGAGCTCTGGGTTGGAATATATATTGAAAATATTCAGTTCAACCAAGCAAACATGTTTCATTCAGGTCAACAGGGTCCCGCTGCAGAGTTTGCTGGGACCCATGGTGAAAAAATCATGTGTTCACGTATCAGCAGCACTTTATAAACAATAATAATGGCACTGACATGGTAGTAACAATCATTTACCGTCCCTGTTAGATGGAGGTTCATCTTGCTCTCTGCTCGGAGGGTAAGGACCCCCCGGACCTCATTGTTTTCCCAATTTGCAGACATTCTCGGCTGCTGTCATCTGTCTTTGAGTTAGCAGCTAAGTGCTATCAGCTACTTTTTAAATCTCCCAGGGGCTTGTCACACGCATAATATGTCATCAGTTGTCACACTCATCTCATCTGTGGTCCTATTCTGCTAACTCTCCCTCAGACGTCATTTTGGTGCTGTTACTTCCTCCACTGCCAGCTTAAAGGTGAGACAGTAAAATGTCAAAGCCTTACCAGCTGCCTCCGGTTCTTCTTCCAGGTTTCTGCTTTCCTTTTGGAGTTCATATTTTGAAAGGCTGCAATTTGCAGGAGTGTAAAGAGAGAAGAGGAGCAGGTGATTACTTGAACAGTTACAGAAAATATTTTGCACTGTCACAGCAGTGTCTCTCTGAAAATATATTTTGGTGGAAGTTGTCACTTATTATAGTGCACACTGATGTGGCTTTTCCTTGTGATCATCAGATTCTGAACTTACAGAAATCACTGGGCGGGTTGTGCGTCAGGTTCCTGTAAAATTCTGTGCGATGAGCCTTCTTCAGTCCCGTACACAGACCAAAATCTGACAGCTTCACATGTCCCTGTGAACAAATACACATTTAATGAGTCATCTGCAGAGAGTCACCATGCATGCACGCACCAAGCATTATGCTTTTACTGACAGTCTGGAAATGTCCGTCAGTGAGTCTCACCCTGGAGTCCAACAGCAGGTTGTCTGGTTTGATGTCTCTGTGGATGAAGCCCAGCTGGTGGATGGAGTCGATGGCCAGAACCGTCTCTGCGATGTAGAATTGAGTGGCCTCTTCAGACAGAGTATCCTTTTTCATCAGCAGGGTCATCATGTCACCTGTCAACAAGGTCAGAGGTCAGAATGATAGTGCAAACACACCTGTCTGTCTTTCTTGCTCTTGTTCAGCATGTCACAGAATAGTGACTCATCCTGTATCCAGTTCAACAAATCTGTGTTTTAATCACTCACAGTCAGTGTTTCTCCTATAATTATATGAAAAAATCTTTTCCAGTGTTTCCTCTATGTTCATTCTACACTGTAGCACCGCCGTGAACTGCAGCGGCGCACCACTGTGAGTCCTTGAATGAAGCAACTGTCTTTGGATAGTTCACATAGCTGTAATAACACCAGGACAATCAAGTATCTGTTATCTTAACTGCTAAAGTCATTTGAGCAGGTGAAGTAAAGATAACGCTGTATGTGTTGCTGACAGATTCATTGTGTTTGTGCTTTTATCTGAGCTAGACCAGAAAATATTTGGCTGAAAAAGATCGCTGATGCTGTTTTGCCCTCATTGTTGTCCGTTAAGTTTGGTTAGGAAGCAATCTGACCTTGTTTGCTCTGATTAATTTGGCATGCATTTAACATACCAGCCATACTTTTGGGAAACTTAAGAAGGAAACAATGGGAGTGACAGACAAGCCAACTTTAAAAGTGAAGTATTTCCTTATCAAATAAGTGCTTAAATATAAGAATACAATTTGGTGTGAGAGTTTAATCGTGCAATCTAGAGGAAACACTAAGAGTGAACACACAAACAGCAGATAACCTGAGATGTAAGGTCAAATAAATCTATGTGAAGTTATCAGTGCACACCTCCAGGCAGGAACTCCATGATGAGGTAGAGGTTCCTCTTGTCCTGGAAGCTGTAAAACATCTTGACCACCCAGGCACCGTCTGCCTCCACCAGAATATCCCTCTCTGCCCGGATATGAGCAACCTGCAGGCAGACATTGGACAAGGTAAGACTGTGACAGTACACGAATGCAGCATGCAGCAGTTTCAACATCCTCGAGTACTACGGTGCTTAACAAATGCTTTACCTGCTCTTTCTCCAGCATGTCTGCTTTCCTCAAGATCTTCATGGCGTAAATGTGCCCTGTGTCTTTTTTCTGCACCAAACGCACCTGAAGGAAACGATGCCACACTTAAATACATAAGGAATGTGTACATATGCAGCACTGAAAGTATAATACATACATAGGAAAGTAACAATTAACAGAATACCTCTCCAAAAGCGCCTCGTCCAATAACTTTCAGGGACTCAAAATCATCAAGGCCAAGTCGCGTCCTCTTGAGTCGTAAAAATTCAGTCTCCTTACGGGCATGCTGCGAGCGGCGCATTACCTTCTGCAAAACACAGACAGATCGACAGTGAGTCATCAGAAGACGTTTTAAAGGAAAATCTTTTAATGCCATGTGTTGAAACCTGTAAACAACAACACAAAGCATACTGTACCTCCTCGTCTGGCAAACCCTCTTCGTCCATGGCCTTCTCCAGCTTCTTCTGCCTATGAACAATACAACGTATTACATACAATTAAAATCTTGTGCTTTTAAAAGACAAACTAAGTGTGAGAATACAGCTAACGCTTTGTACTCCTATTTTCTTTATGTACGATTTTGGTGCGTAAACATACAAGGAGGTATTAGATCACCTAAAACTGGTCAGATCTTGAAATTAAATCCCTTGTCAGTTTATGTTGGGCCAGCTGTCTTTTACAATCCATGTTACCTGGACTAGAGATCAGTTCTCAAGTAATGTGAGAACAACTAGGGGTAGATTACGAGACGCCCTTTGACACCTGAGATGGCGCTGTTTTCTTTACAGCAAATGGACTGACACTTGATGCCTTAAACAACAACTACATTCACTCAAAGAGAGTACCTGAGGTAACCAGCTCGTGCAGTGTGGTAAAGATCGTTCAAGGTGAACATGAGGGAACTTTTAAAAGTATGACGTCAGGGAAGTAAAAAGTAAAGTAGCTTTTGTTAAACAGACACATACAACATGGCTTGGAATATACTGATAAACAGTAACAGATGCAATGGGACCAGTGTGCTCCTTTACACTTGTGTCGAGAAAAAGCTGGTGGTCTCATATTAACAGGTACCGTAAGCTATACAACCACAGGAGCAGTTTTACCTCATCTCTCGCTCCTCGTGCTGGGTGAGCAGAGTGCTGTAGAAGTTCTCCAGTGTCAGCTTGGCCACAGTCACCCTCTCTCGAGTGTGGTTGCTCATGGGAAGGGCAGCTGCAGTCCCTCCCGTCATGGCCATACTATCCTGTAAGACAACATAATTGAACCAAACAACATCAGCCTGTGCACGACACTGCTTCCACTCATGTGTTAAGTGTTTGTTTTACCATCAGCTTAGTGCTTTACAAAATAGTTTTACCTTCCAGAGAGGAGTTTCACCTGGAGGACTTAAAGCACACAGGCTCAGTAATCCAATCATTAGTGCAACAGCCACCCACCAACACAGACAGATTTGTGCCGACCAATAAGTTAACAGCAGCGCCACCTGTGTGTCTGTCCTTTACAATAGCTTTGAGACCAGCAAGGACAAGCAACACATTTAAAAAATAATGGTCAAAATTGAAACAGCAAAGGCAAAGATATCCTGACTTTCATTACCTAGAGAGTGTGTCAAACTCCAGAACTTTGAATCCTACATTTCCTCCATAATGCAACTTGATAGCGTCTTTCACTAGACCCTCCATTCCTGGCATATACCCATGTCTTTCAAACTTGAGTGACATCATCAGCATTATTTTCATCATCATTATCATTTATGACCCATAAAAGTGTGTGGCAGTGTGTTTATCTGCAGAGACTCTGCCTGGATTTTCTTATTCTCCTCTCATTATGCTGTGTTTGGGACGTCCCTGGGCATAGCACGCACTTGAGGTCAAGCTTTTAAAAAGGTAGTGACCAAAAGCCAGACCGTAAGCAGCAGGTATCCAAAAGGAAGCCACAAAAATCATGAATACAGCACCAAAAACCAATGCAAATATAGCAAGGCGACTAAGTGGACAAACCTGTGGTTGATGTTCACTTTCACTTTCGCGTGACAATACTGTTTACACACATCAACTGACACAGTACACCTTTCATGAAACTGCTTTCACAGGACAGTAGTTCTATGTAAAACAAATGAACTGATCTTTATGTATAAAAACCATCAAGTGTCCCTTTAAATATAATATTAAAGAGATACTTTGCAGATTTTCAACCAGGTCTGTGTCACTGTGGTGTGGGGAAATTGTGCAGATGAAGAGTGTCTGGCTGTCTCCCAGCCAACAATTGCACAAAACATGACATGTTTCTGATCATCTGGTCAAGGCACGCAGTGACACAGACCTGGCTGAAAATCTGCGAAGTATCCCTTTTATGAAGTCCTTTAGGCTTTCAAATTCAAAACACTTCACTCTTTTTGCTTCAGTGTACAAAGTAACCAAGTATTATCAATTTGGAACAGATGCTTTGACCACAGACTAACAGGAGTTCGATGCCTGGTACTGAAACATTTTTTTCACCCCAGAGGAGGGACAGGAATCATGTGCTGGATACCTCATGGTCTGCAGGGTTTTCATTCCAGGGACTAATCAGTCTAACATCCACTGATCTCCCTTGGTATGCATTCCTTTTTCATCTTTACACATCTCTGATAATATCAAAGTGACAAAAAACAATTATAAAATGACGGCTGAGGAAGTCACATCACATAAGAACTGCGCTTCGGTCCTTATTAATGCCGAAATTGTTATTCTCTCCCTGGCAATTTGGGAACTACTTTCTCTAGAGGAGCACATACTGACATCTTGGATTTGATGTGTAGCCCTCCTGTGGGAGGAATGCAAACCACAGAGAGTAGAAGAAACACACACGTACTAGTGAGGTGAAGGCCACAAGCAGTAGCTGGTTGTTTGAATAAATGCAAAACATGAATGGTGTTGTAAAAGGCCCCAAGGTAAAAAAAGTAGGAACTAAGGGAGGAAGTTTAATTTTTCTCTGAGAGTAGGTGATCTACATGAGCAGATTTTAACATATTATGTAATAGACGGAAAGAGGAAGCGGGTGAATGTGTACATCTTGAAACTATTTCAGTAGTATGCCATCAGATAGTTATGTATGGGCTTGATTAGCTCACAAAGAGATAAAACAGCCCTGCAGCCCAGAGATAGGACCCATGTTTCATCTAGTCACCGGTCCTTTTCCCGTCTCGCCCCCCAACGGTCCCACAACAACGAGACACTTCCTGACTTCTGAGAAAAATCACTGAATCACCGCTGCAAACTACTTGGTTTGGGGGTTTGTGTCAGGTGGAAAACAGGGACAACACTGGCAAATAAGGGTGTTAAGTTACTGAGACCTGTACAGATTCACCTGATACTGAAAGCTCAGCTTAAACAACAAACACAAGGCAGCACAAGCAGACTTAGTACACTTACTGTGGTCTCACATAGCCCATGTTGGCCCTATGTAATGTTACATTTCTGAGAAGATGCACATCAACAATGTAGGTATGACACCACCTTACATACTGTAGCTACCACAACAGCTTGACACATACACACAATTCGTCTGTGGACTTGTGTTCTTTTTGGTCGACCAAAGTGCAAATTTAGGTCACCCAGTCTGTCGGGGACGCTTAGTGGATAATGTGTAAGCGGGCTGAGTAATACAGCGCTGTGTTTCAGTAGCTGTAGGAACCAGGAGAGTTTTCTCTGTTGATCATTGAAACTGACAATGATCAACCACAAAGCTTTTACTTTCACTGACGATACAAACACTGCGGACACCACTTTTATTAAAGGGAAATTTCACCCCCAAAATCAAACATGTATATTTCTCCTCTTGGCTGTGATGCTATTTATCAATCTAGATCATTTAGGTGTGAGCTGCTGAGTGTTTGATATCAGCTGTAGAGATGTCTGCCTTCTCTCCAGTATAATGGAACTAGATGGCACTCAGCTTGTGGTGCTCAAAGCGCCAAAAACTACAACAGCTTCTTCCGACCAAGTAATTTGATTGGACGAGAGGCATTCCATGAGTGCTGATATATAGTACAACATCACTGGGACATGTAACAGTAAAATCACTCCGCTCACAGGTGTTAAAAATATGAATACAACCGTTAATTAACCAGCTGTCACACCCGCTATATTGACGCAAACTGACACTGTAGCATTTGAATTAAATTATGAGTGGTCGTCAGGAGAAGACGAGGAAAAGGATAGCCAGGACTGTTCTGTGCAGACCTCCAGGTGTGTTTGAATCCAGCCGTGCCAACATCCAGGTTTGCCAATGTTTTATCAGCCGAACTGGATGAAGTTACACAGTTGCAGATCAATGTAAACACAAAGTAGATTGTGAGTTCCTGTCGTGTGTGCTGCGTTGCCTGGCAACAGACTGGGGGAACTGTTTTTTTTCGCGGAGCTACATAACATACTTAAATAATTTATTTCATCACCTTTTGTTAACATTTCCTTACTCAGCATTGCTCTTCAAGCTGTTGTTGAACTGTTGTATAAAAGCAAAATCACGCTCGAGGTCATGACATTGTACTGTATATTGTCACGGCTGTAATTGTCTCCCTGTGACCGAATCACAGCCGTGATGATATACAGTACAACATCACTCCCTCTCGTGTGATAATGCTTAATTTGAAAAACTCAACAGCAATGTCTCTTTCCAGAAATTATGACCAAATTACTCAAGATAATCCACAGACCTTGTTGTGAGCAGTTTCACATAGGAACTATTTTCTATCTAGAAAACTACACTTGCTAACTGTATCACTGCACAGGAGGACGAGTACATCCACTCACAGATGAGAGGCTCATGCTCGTGACAGCACGAGATGTAAATATAAAAGGCATCCTTCTCGGGCATGCTGTAAAATTAGCTAGCTCAGTGGTGCTAGGTGAGTTAGCAGTAGATGCACCCTTCCTTCTGAATGGTGGCACAACTTGGCGAGTGTAGTAGATACTGAAAATTTCAGAATTTATGGCCGTATCAGGAGTATTCAACATTCATTCTACTTTTACCCCTGTTTTTGGTCTCCACCAGCTCCTGTGGACAACATTAGGATCTTTAGTTGCTAAATGCTCCGCTGGCTAGCTGCTAACTTTGTTCATCATTTGGTAGCATACAGTGGGTGGAGAGAGTGGGCTAAAACGGTAAAGTTGTGGGCCATGGAACCAAAACACTGACTGGACAGTGGTTATTCTTTGGGTTCCCTCCATTAGAGTGTCTTAAATTATGTTTTCAGTTGTCTGTGCAGATCTACAGATATCTAAAAGATCAGTATTACAGTTTAGATTAGAAAAAAACATACTGTAAAGCCATTAAACAAAGCTTACAAGCTTTTTTTCACCAGGTCTGCCAGTTTGCTGTACAGAGTTGAAACTGAGCAATGGAATTAATGCACACACTCGAGGGTCTGGATGGATTTTCTGCTTGTTTCTCCACCTAGGTGGAAAATGTCGGGCCTTTAGCTCTGTCTGAGGGGATTCAGTTTAGCTTGAAGTGAACCAGATCCACCCCCTAGCTAAACAAACAAGGCTACACCACTCAGGCACTTATAAGGAAGGCATTATGAAGGCAGACTCACTATTTGAAGACTCAAGCATGCAGCCTATAACGGGACGGGCCAAATCTGGCCAGCCAAAACTATAATATATAACTATAACACTTAAAACTTGCAATGTGTTTCCTCATCTTACTAAAACTGTTAAAGGTTCAGTTCACCAGCACTTTGTATGTGTGTGTATTTCCATACAAACACACACTCCACCCTTCAAGTACTGTAAGTGACTGGACAGGAAACAGTTTCCATCCTGAATGAAAGGGCTCAGTCATGACGCCAGAGAGAGGAATGGGGCTCTCAGACAAACACACACACACACACACACACACACACACACACACACACGGCTATAACAAAAATATATTGTCCCGAACTTTCCTTTGATTGTAAAGGGGAACTACGCCTGTTTTCAAAATTCATAAGTTGTTGCTATGGTCTAAGACAGTCCAAAAATATTAGTAAACATAAACAACTCTCCCAAATCCAAAAACTAGAGTGCTAAAGCTCAAACTTGTGATGATGTCATGAGGTGTAAAGTCTGGAGCTGCTCCATAAACAATAAATGGCGAAAGACGTAAAAGATGACACTGAGAACACCCAGGGGAATGTTCTGAGTATAAGGGTGCATTTTCTGTTTCAGCACTGAAACACTCCAATAGAATAACGCTCAAAAATAAAACAAACATTCTGTGGGTCCACAAAATCACGCGTCCATGAAGCAGCTCCAGACTTAATACTTCATGACATTTTAAGTTTGAGACTCTGGTTTCCAGCTTTGAGAGAGAGTAGCTCATGCTCACAAATATTGATTAAACTTTGCTATGCCATGGAAATAACATTGGAATTCCTAATTTAGGTGGTGCTCCCCTTTAAACTAAACAACCACTTTTGTCTTTAAAAGTCACCTTGACATTCTAATAAATGGAACTTAATGCTGTGTATCAATTATTTAGTAATATCCATAAGATTATGCAGTATTATGTTATGGAAATCTGTTATATATCCCTATTCAAAGTGTTTGTTTTTTGCAATAGTAATATATACTTGAGAAAATGCTTTAAATGGGAAAGACATGTCAAGAGCTCCATTAATTTCAAATAAATTGCATATATATTGTGTTTTGTAAGTGTATTTCAAATTAAAATAAACTTATTTTCATGTTAAATCTTATTGTAATTGCCATGCTTTCCATCCAGTGTGCTGGTGTACCCTCCATCCACCTGCGGAGATGGTGTGTACTTGCATGGAGCATTACCCCAGCTCACAACACATTAATGTCTTGTCAAGCTAACCTTTCACAACTCACTTAAATTGAAACTTTTGGGGCCACCCTGTCAAACCTCTATCTGCCACCTCTGCTGGCACTGCTGCCACTCACATATAGGTCATACTGGATACTGGTTAATATTTTATATTATATATATATGCCATTAAGTTTAAATAATATGTGGTTACTTAAAACAAACATTGGCTCAGTTAGTTGCTGTGATGTGTTAGCTAGCTGTGTGTCCGTTACATTGCCTTTGCGTCTCTGTCTGGCAGGTTGACAGCAACAAATAAAAATCCGACAGCATACAGATAAAGAGCACTGAGTGAGGAAAAATCACCTACCTCCGTGTCCTGCTCCAGAGTCAATTATTGGCTTGCCGCCACCCCACGATATAAGAGAAATATGGTGTGTTTCTTCGTATTTTCCTGCCTAATATTTAGGCAGTTGAAGGCTAAAGGCTCCAGTTATTGGCCACCCTTTAGAGGAACTTATAAGGCAGCACCGTAAACATCGTCGATATCAACGCCAAATCATAACAAAAGTCCCCTGACGTCGCCTGCAAGCTAACCTAAAATAATTTGAAATTATTTTACTTTCTTCATTTGTACACCCTGACCTCGAAATTCAACGCTTCCTCCGTCTAAATCGCTATAAAATATGAAATAAGCACCGCTGCTTCCTGGGACCGTCGGGCACATCAGACGCTCCGGCGACGCAACGGCGTAGCATTTGATTGACGTTGGAGAGAACCAATCAGTGATGAGAAAAGGGACCTGTGGTTTCAACTGGCCAATCACATGCGCAATGTATGTGGGAGTGACATGTTTGTCAGCCAATGAGAAGATCTGATCCGCCCAGCAAGGGTTGTGTTACAGGACGCAGGTTCATTTGGCTAGCAAGCATTTGCAGCTATGAAAGACAGTACTGTAGCTCCAGTAGTTGTAATATTGGTTACATAATTTTATTGCTTATGCTTAGAGGAAACCCTCAATAAAAGAACTGATATTATTATACATTTTTAAGGATAATATTACACAGATTACACAGAAAATAATACATTTCTTAACACTGAATAACCTTATGAACTACAAGAGGGTATCAAAGGTCAATAAAAGGTCATATTGGGATCAAAAGAAACAAATTGCTGTTTTTTAATTGCTACCGCTGGCAAAGAAACATTTACAGAAAAAAACGGAATAATTTACATCAAATACCACTACTTAGAAAATACAAAACACCCATAACATTTTATAGGACTACTTTAACCTACTGACAATACAGGAAATAAGACACCATAAAGACAAGATAAAATAAAATCATAATAGAGTGTCACAGACAGACCACAGCTTTATTCAAGGAAAAATACAAGAGATAGTTGTGCTGAGGGAAGATATGAGACCTTTGGTGTAACATTTTTGGCAAAAAATATGTAAGATGTGTTTATTGTTTAACCTAGATGCTCCAGATTATTTTTTCACACTTCAAAGATGTAGAATTTCCAGAGGAAACTGACACGTTTCCTGTAGTCCTCTCAGCAAGGACACTTAGAGACACTTAGAGACACTGATTAACCCAATCTGAAATCTTTCATTTCCTTGTTCACATGTGTCTATATGTCAAAGGTCTATAGGACAAAGAACAGGTGTGTGCAGTAGAAAACACTAATGCCAACTAGAAAAAGCAGATAACAAAACTGTAACACCAACAACAAACTTGTGTTGACCAAAACACAGTGAAAAGCCGTGCCGGCAGCCATAAATTTCCTTATTTGGGTGGGTTGAGTGATTTTACTGTAAGAGCCATGATGTCAACATGCACAGAGGTGGGTGTAACCTGCTAACACGTCTGGGTGTGGTGTCCAGCAGACAAGGCTGTTTTTATATTTCTTGCATCAATGGGGCCCACTGAGCTGTGACACAGCACCTATATTTAGATTTGGGCTATAAACTCTCTGGCCTTTAGCCTGAGCTTCATAAAGTTCAGTCTGAAACTCAGACCACTGAGCCACACTTTGATTTGAGTGATGCCACATGACAACTGCTGTTGTGTAAAAAACATTTTTTTTAAAAGATATTTTTTGGGGCATTTTTTGCCTTTAATGGACAGGACAGTTAAGTGTGAATGGGGGAGAGAGAGAGAGAGAGGATGACATGCAGCAAAGGGCCACAGGCTGGACTTGAACCCGGGCCGCTGCAGCAACAGCCTTGTACATGGGGCACCTGCTCTACCACTAAGCCACCAACACCCCATGTAAAAAACATTGATTTTCAGATATTAACAGTTCAACCAAATAATTATTTTTTTAATTCAGACTGTACTTAAATGATATTCAGATGAGGCAGAGAGGTTATTTTATTGGATTTAAAAGACATAACACAAAAACCTAAGATCTACTATATTCAGCACTCTGGACAAGCTTCACCTGCCCTGCCCCCAAAATATGAGAATGTACTATTATTGCTATTAATATTTTCTTTTATATTTATTGTGTTCATCACAAACAAGAACAAGAGCTTGTTAAGGACTGGAGGTAGTACCCCTATAACAGGCCAACCATTAGCATTTGATCTTTACATAATTTTTCCCTTACGTTTGATTTTTTTAATGTAATATATATATATATATATATATACAGTACAGGCAAAAAGTTTGGACACACCTTCTCATTCAATGCGTTTTCTTTATTTTCATGACTATTTACATTGTAGATTCTCACTGAAGGCATCAAAACTATGAATGAACACGTGGAGTTATGTACTTAACAAAAAAAGGTGAAATAACTGAAAACATGTTTTATATTCTAGTTTCTTCACAATAGCCACCCTTTGCTCTGATTACTGCTTTGCACACTCTTGGCATTCTCTCCATGAGCTTCAAGAGGTAGTCACCTGAAATGGTTTCCACTTCACAGGTGTGCCTTATCAGGGTTAATTAGTGGAATTTCTTGCTTTATCAATGGGGTTGGGACCATCAGTTGTGTTGTGCAGAAGTCAGGTTAATACACAGCCGACAGCCCTATTGGACAACTGTTAAAATTCATATTATGGCAAGAACCAATCAGCTAACTAAAGAAAAACTAGTGGCCATCATTACTTTAAGAAATGAAGGTCAGTCAGTCCGGAAAATTGCAAAAACTTTAAATGTGTCCCCAAGTGGAGTCGCAAAAACCATCAAGCGCTACAACAAAACTGGCACACATGAGGACCGACCCAGGAAAGGAAGACCAAGAGTCACCTCTGCTTCTGAGGATAAGTTCATCCGAGTCACCAGCCTCAGAAATCGCAAGTTAACAGCAGCTCAGATCAGAGACCAGATGAATGCCACACAGAGTTCTAGCAGCAGACCCATCTCTAGAACAACTGTTAAGAGGAGACTGCGCCAATCAGGCCTTCATGGTCAAATAGCTGCTAGGAAACCACTGCTAAGGAGAGGCAACAAGCAGAAGAGATTTGTTTGGGCCAAGAAACACAAGAAATGGACATTAGACCAGTGGAAATCTGTGCTTTGGTCTGATGAGTCCAAATTTGAGATCTTTGGTTCCAACCGCCGTGTCTTTGTGAGACGCAGAAAAGGTGAACGGATGGATTCCACATGCCTGGTTCCCACTGTGAAGCATGGAGGAGGAGGTGTGATGGTATGGGGGTGTTTTGCTGGTGACACTGTTGGGGATTTATTCAAAATTGAAGGCACACTGAACCAGCATGGCTACCACAGCATCCTGCAGCGACATGCCATCCCATCCGGTTTGCCTTTAGTTGGACCATCATTTATTTTTCAACAGGACAATGACCCCAAACACACCTCCAGGCTGTGTAAGGGCTATTTGACCAAGAAGGAGAGTGATGGAGTGCTGCGGCAGATGACCTGGCCTCCACAGTCACCGGACCTGAACCCAATCGAGATGGTTTGGGGTGAGCTGGACCGCAGAGTGAAGGCAAAGGGGCCAACAAGTGCTAAACACCTCTGGGAACTCCTTCAAGACTGTTGGAAAACCATTTCAGGTGACTACCTCTTGAAGCTCATGGAGAGAATGCCAAGAGTGTGCAAAGCAGTAATCAGAGCAAAGGGTGGCTATTTTGAAGAAACTAGAATATAAAACATGTTTTCAGTTATTTCACCTTTTTTTGTTAAGTACATAACTCCACATGTGTTCATTCATAGTTTTGATGCCTTCAGTGAGAATCTACAATGTAAATAGTCATGAAAATAAAGAAAACGCATTTAATGAGAAGGTGTGTCCAAACTTTTGGCCTGTACTGTATATATATGCATATATCGTGGATGCAATTTTGACGCCCTTCCACCACTGAGTTTTGGATTACCAGCGTCCTCTTAGGCTGCTTGTGCTTGGGAAAACAGGTACATGCAGTACATAAGGCATTCTTTCTTATTTGTAGAGACTACATAAAAATAGTTGAGAGTGTTTGTTACCATAAAATACAGGAATTTGAGAATCTTATGCAATTTAAGTGCCAGCATTCCCCACCCAAAAAAGCGCAAAGTACACTACAAAAACTCATCTTAAATGTGTGTCTTGTGTTTCTTGCTACTTGGAATTTTCAGATTTCTCATACTGGATCTTACATTGTCTAACATTACCAAATAACTACATGTTTAGGTCATCAGCAGCTTGCTTCCCTTTTTTTTTTTTTACCTCTCAGCAGCTTGCCTCATTTTTTCCCATGCTATTTTCTAACTTACTTATGTCATGAAAAACTAAAACCAGCAATTGGTTCCTGAAAACATTTTGGGCATTTTGAAGAGGATCTAACTGTGCAGCATCAGCATGTTAAAGTTAAACTGAAGTGTGGTCACACTGAACATGACATCATTTCAGCAAAATTCAATTTACAGTGATCTTTACCTGGCTAAAGCTCCAGTGTGAAGGATCTAGAGGGATATTTTGGCCAAAATGGAATATATAGTATTATAGCTATTGAAAATAGCAATTGTTTTTTATAACTTTAAAATGAGCTATCTAGAGCTGCATAGGGACCAGGTCCTCACCAATGGAGATCACCATGTCGCACCACCATGTTTCAACAGTAGGCTCTAGTTAGAGCCATTTGTGTTTTTGTGTCATTTTAAGGGGTCCAAGCAACAACTGCTGCTGGAGCCCTATTGTTTTTAGGGGCCGGCCAGCTCTTGTGCTCACCAATATTCTTCTCCTTCTAAGGAAATTTAACTTCCCATGCATACAAATAAACCCAACTTGGCACATAGTCCAGTCTCATGCTAAACTTCCTCAATGGGAACTGGGGGCCAATACTCCTGATGGCGGCGCTACACCAACTGTTTACAAATTCACAACAAATCACCTGTACAGCAAACGGTTTTACAACTTTTATTAAACTGTAGGCTGATTTGTGAGGACACATTTATAAATCCATCCTAGCGCAAATTATGAAGTCCATCACTCTGTTTTTATTAGAAACTGTAAAACAAATTAAACCAATCTCCTCCAACATTTTGAGGTCAATTCACACCAGACTTGCTACACAGGATCTTCAGACTGTCCCACATATACGCATCACACAGATTTTTGAATGACTAAAAATTGAACCCACAGTGCATCAAAATGAGTCACTAAACAAAGCTCCAATGTTCATGAAAAAATGACAATATTTTGCTGTGAGGGTTTAGTGTATTTTAATTCAGAATTGTATTTTAAACAAATTGTATTTTTGATGGCATTTTGAACTCTG